GCGTGGCGCCAACTGGGTACGCTCCAGCAGCCTTGCTAAAGATGTCGATACCGGCTTTACCTGCTGGGTTTTTGGCGACTTGAACAGTTCCAGTGAATTGCCTTGGTCCCAGAATGGTTCCCTTATCAGTCATCCGAAGAGTTGGTCTCTCAAACGTGGAAGTTGGGTTGAGGTAAATCAACCAGCTTGATCCATCACCCAACCGCGCATCCCACCCATACAATGTGGCTCCGAGTCCATTGGAACTCAAACGAAGGTCAGTGATGTTTGAGAAGTGCTTTTGAGACTGGATGAGAATGGTGGCGTCGTTATAAATCCCCGTGACGAAAGCCATGCCCTGGACTACGGGAAATGAGACAATCGGTTTGGCACCTTTTCTTGTTGCAAGGTTGACATTGGCGGAGAATGCTGTCAATGTGTCCGTAGTCAAAACCGTTCCATTCTGCAGTTCCCGCGCCGAAAGCGCAAGAGATTGGTCAAAAAATGGATCCTCGAAAGACTGGACGGGCTCTCCAGGCCCGTAGATAAAGTTGCGCCGGTCCGTATGGGAGATAGACAAGCCGTGGCCCTGTTCGACGGTATCGTTGGACCACCAGACGGAGTAGGGGTGAGTCCATGTTGCGTTGTCTTGGTTGTTGGCGAAGAAGTTGGCGTAGAACTTGTTGGTTTGGATGGGGTTGTCGATGTTATCGACTCCGACAGGCTTCTGTGGGTGATCTGCCCTCGACGGAACTAGAATTGGTCGGTCGTGAGAAATTTTCACGAAAACGTTGTCGGATCCTCCTCTCGCTACTTCTCCATCTGCCCTCGCGTGATAGGTAATTGAGCGTCGCATTTTGCCGTGGCTGTGGAATCCATGGTGCCGGTGGGATTGAACGCCTCCGAACAGCAGGATGACTGTCACAATGGTTTTGCTGAACATGGTTGAAAAGAGCGACAATAACGAGTGGCTTGAAAAACCCTTTAACGAGGCTACATAGAAAATAAAGACAACAAGCAGTAAAGACCTCAGTCGACATGACCAAAGACCATCCTCATCTCTAATATCTGCTTTGGGGGGCGGTCGGAGATGGGTATTGCCCGTTGAGGGGCTATCAGGGGATTTTGAGTTTATCGCCATCAACAGCTTAATGCGGTACCAATCTCGGACCCCGGTGAACTCAAATCTGAGTTCATATCCATGTCTAGCCTAAGGCCTCTCATCCACTCAAATCGAATTGCTTCGTTTAACTTCAGACGACAAACACCAAGCGTTAGTAATCCATCCGATTCGTCGATGACAGAAGATTTTATCAGTCAAACAGCTACAACAAAATATGGTTCAAATACTTTACCCGGCACTCACGCTGGCTCTGATGTGTGAACAAATAGGAGTTGAGAAAGCTGACTCGGACGAGTTTCAGCGAGCTTTTCTAGCTGAATGCTAGTGAAGAAAGGAAAAGGGCTCAGAAGGACCATACACTTGCCCCAGGCCTTTCTCTTTCCGTTTCGAAACATTTTCAGTAAGTCTCATTACAATTGAAGTTTGGTAAAAGTCTCTGATCCATTTTAATAGAATGAAAAGTTTCTTTTGAGACCAGAGAGGCCGGTGGGATGTTGTGGACCCATGTGGCATAAGCCAGATGGAATGGTAGTCTTCGTGTCAGAACTAGGGATAATAAGGAATGGAAATTGAGGGAACTCTTGGTCTGAAAGTTGTATCGTCTAGTTATGGCGGATGTTCGAATTGAGAGGCCATTTCCACGAAGAACGTGTAAAATCTGATTGACATTAATACCACACGAAAACTTCGCTTGTCTTCAATTCGACGTGAAGTGGTTCCGGACTTTGCTTGAGCTTGGTACAGTCTTGACCTGAAACAAGTACACACATTGGATGAGATAATTGAAAGTCTTGTCAAGACCAACGCATCATATGATAGCCCGCATTGCAGAAACCACTATTAGTCAAGCTAGAAATAACTGGCGCAGTCCGTCACGTAACTCACTAACACACCCAACTAGTGATACTCCTGTTTTCCATTCACCTAGTCTCTGCATACTTCATCCACAATGGCTCATGCAATAACCTGTCCAAGCAGTTCTTCTCAACACCCACCAGGATCTCCATCCCACCGTCCGGCAGAACAGGCATGACGACCTGCAACCCGTTGATCACACCAACATGCGGCGCACGAACGGCCTGGATCGTGTCGCCCAGCACCGGTCCCCACTGCACGTCATACAGGGAGAAGTTGACCCATGATGTCTGAATGCAGTTGTTGCCGGGCACATCCAGGAGAGCCGTAGGGATAATGCGGTTCACGTCCTCCACCGTGTCAATGAGCGTGGCTACATCATCGACAAACTGGTTGTCCGCGCGGATCAACGCCTGCCGAACCAAAATCGCCAAGTCAGCCAGGGACGCCGAGCCGAGCATCTTGCGGATCGGCGCCGAAGCCGCGACGTAGCCGAGGAAGCAGCCCATGGTCTCCGGGTGCACCGGCGGGTCTGTACGCAGACGGGCGTCGACGGCGATATTGAAGACTGACACCGGGTCGCCCTCGAGGGTTTCGAGGGGTGACTGCACCGCCATGACGGTGCGCCAGAGCAGCGCTGAGAGTGCGTCGTTGGTGGAGACCCATCTCTGCTTCGTCGGTTCCGTTGCGTTTTCTGGAGAGGCTTCGGCTTTGAGTCTGGCGAGGGACTCGGGTGAGAAGTAGAAAATTTGGCCGCGGTGGTCTTCGGAAAGGATCTTTGGCGGCATGCCCTCAGGCGTGAAGGGGATGATGGTGTACTCAGGGTGGTCTGCCGCACGACCGGGGTTCTTACCGGTTGGGCTCATGATGCGTTGGCGGTCTCTGAGAAACGCCTCATCCAGCTTGAAGGGGTCTGTGATCTCGTGGCCTTGAGCTCTGCGGCACTCCTCTGCCCAGATCTTGGTCCAGATCAGGAATGTCTTGCCGTCTCCAAACATGTGGAAGATGCACCAGGATAGAATCAGGCCCCCTTGGATGAAGTTGGCTTGCGGAAGAGATACAGGCAACCTTTCATCAGGAGTTGCCCATACCGAGCGCCGACAGATAGTATTTGCATCAAAGGAAGCCACCGGGAAGTTCTTGGATTTGAGTTCCAAGTACGTCATGGGGAAAACACCAGGAGCCCGGAGATCCTTGACGGTGATTCCTTCGATGTCTCCATGACGGAGGCTCTGAAGCTTTAAGACGCCGGCTTGCTTTGAGTACGGGTTTGGAACAGCTTCACATCCCAAAACAGCAATACGCTGTTGCGCGGCTTCATACCCTGCGCGGAGGATAGTAGCAGCTTGATCGAGGTTGTAACCTTCGGGGAGCTGGAAAGGGAAGACATATCGAAGGTAACCTTTGGGTCCGATACGCTCGAGGGGCGTGAGATCAGGGATCTCTGTGAAGCCTGATAAGGAACCCATAGCTGTTGACGTACGAGAAATTTATGCAGAATCTTGTAGTTGAGAAGAGCATTCTGATCGAGAAAGCCCCAAGAATGGCGACTGTAATTATATTTGACCCTTGTTGTTCTTCGCTGTGTCTTTATCCGTACGCTCCAGACCACCATGTAACACCTGCTAGCCACGCCGCACCCGTACATTCAAATCAGGTCATGACATATTGCCATCCTCCAGCAACAGTGGTAATGACTTCAGGGAACCTGCATAAGATACTCCTTTCAGAGACTTGGTACCAGAGACAGGAACTTGCTGATGTCCTCTTCCCCGCCTTGACGGGGTGAGATGGACCGTCGACCCTGTTCTGTCTTTCGTGGCCCTGGTTCCAACAATAACCAGGATCGACCTCCTTCACCCCACAAGTAGTAGGAGCCATGGAAAGTGAAAAGGCTCATCCTCAGACTCGAGATGCATTTGGAATTTCAAGAATGTCATCCTGATCTAGTTGATGCTCTCACTGAAATGGGGGACAATAGGTATTCTAGTTCTACGAACTAGTGCGTTGATAGTAGACAACTTCCAGCATCAAACCCAGCATGCTGGACATGTCCGTCATATGTGACTTCTCGCAACAGTAAGAAGTGGGCCGCGAGGAGGAAGCCGCATGTGATAATCCAATCCTTGCATGCGGGACTTGTACCCTTGGTTCTTCGAGACAAAGCAGTCAGACGGGCCGTTGGTGGAAGACGGCAGAATCAGCGGCTCCTCGACGTTGCAACGTTCACCCGTCTTCTCTTTTTAGGGATACTCGCACAACCTCAATCTCAAGTCATCGTTTGGCGCTTTGAAGCAAACATGGCTTTTCTGACAACCAGGATATTCTGTCACCTCATAAGGTAGTCTTGCTGGGTGCCAGGACTGGCATTTCGGCAAAAGAGTTTGTTTATTAACGACCGCTCATTACACTCCTGTTCCTGCATGCGCGGGACGCGCACCAACGAAGATGAAGTATCCAGACTCCAGGGGAGTTACGAATTACGGAAAAGTCATCCCCCAACACAGAGCTTCCCCGTCTGTGCAGATAATCCTTGAACGGAAGAAATCAGAAACGATCCACATTGCTCGCCTTTTGGCGAGCCAGAACAGGAAGCATCAGGCCATGCGGAACTCCGGGCCTGTCTGCCCAGTACCAACAGCATTATAAACCCTGCGCTCTTTGGATGTAGACGAGACTGGATCGTTGGTCCAACGTGAATGCAACGGTGCACGGAAGCATCGCGGTGGAGATTATACGCAGAGCAGCTGCGAATACCACGGGTTTGCCTTGGTCGGAGGGTCTCCGAAGGTATACGTCCGACTCCTCCAACATGCATCATATTTCCTTTTTGCGCCTCCTGGGACTCCAGCTTGTGCTGCAACGATTCTTCGAGCCAATGTTGAGATCCCATGAAGAAAAGTAAACTCTTGGCATCTCATAGAAAGAATGTCACCCAGAAGCATGAAGGCTTGTCTCAGTCCTCCCCTCCCGCCTCTATCAACCTTTTCGCCGCGATGTAGTATTCCTTTCGATTTCACACCAACTTCTCATTCCTTCGACGATGGAACCTGATCCCAACATCATCGCCATCTTCGGTCCACCTTCAGACGGCCTCGATATCTCAGAAAGCAGTGTCGCTCGCAACAATGCCGCCGTCATAATCTTGGCCGTACTGGCGTCTGTCGCCGTGGTATTACGGCTGATGGCCAGGTTTCTTCAAGGTCACAGTCTGAAGGCGGATGATTGGACAATTCTTCTCTCCTTGGTAAGAACTTGCTCGAATGCTTCCCCTTGTGAGATTCTTTGCACATAGGTTCACGATGTTAATGATATTTCATCACAGCTTCTCGTGGGCGCCACAGTCGGCCTAAGCATCGCAGGCGGTGCCTACGGCGCAGGGAACCACGTCTGGTCATTCACACCTCAAAACCTGACACAAGTCTTCAAAGTAAGCTTCCCCTTCTTGATTCTATTCTATCAGTATCCGTCTCCCCTTCTGATCCTACTCCATCGATAAGCCCTCAAAACGCATACTGAACTCTAAACCCACAGATCCTCTACGCCTATACCTTCATCTACGGCACGGCCTGCGCCGCCACCAAAATCTCCATCCTCCTCTTCTACCAACGCATCTTCCTCCTCTCCACCGCCTCCTCCACCTCATTCAAGTTCTCCCTCATAGCAGGCTACGTCCTCTCCGCCGCCTACCCCATCATCATCTGGGCCACCATGGTCAACGCGTGTCGCCCCCTCTCGTTCTACTGGAACCAGTTCGTGGGCGAAAACGGGACATGCATCGACATTAATACCTTTTACCTCGCCCTCGCCATCATCAACATGGTCAACGACATCATCGTCCTCTTGATTCCCATCCCACAGATCCTAAAGCTGCAAATGTCAGGGAGGAAGAAGGCTGCTGTCTGTAGTATCATGTTGCTGGGAAGTTTGTAAGTCACCCTCCCCTTTTCACCACCGTCCAATAGCAGATACAAAGGTAATCCGTAAATCAAGACAACCCTCTCTAATCCAAACCCCTCTCCAGCGTCTGCGTAGCAAGCATAGTCCGCATAACTTACCTCTCAACCTTCTCCCGCGCCCTCGACATCACATGGCAAATGGGCCCCGTCTTCATCTGGTCCGCAATCGAACCCTCCATCGCAATCGTATCCGCCTGCCTCCCGCACCTCGCGCCCCTCCGCCGCCTCGTCCGCCACAAAATCTCATCTTCCCTGGGCCACTCCAGCAGCAATGCTGGAGGTGGAGTTGGAGGTGGGCCCTCGTCCAACAGCGCGCCATGGAGGCTAAAGTCGAAGCAGAGCGCCAGCGGAGGAAAAAACAGCAGCTCGCAAAGGGGGACGGGCGGCGCCATGTTCAAGTATGGCGGGTCGAGATTCAATTTTGGTGGTGGAGGGGGCGACGGCAAGTTGGGCGGGGAGTCGGACGACGAGATCGGACTGACGAATCGTATCACGGCTGGGTCTGGCGGTGTCAAGAATCTGTCTACTAGGTCCGGGTCCGAGGAGAATATCAATGGAGGGTCAATTGTTGTGCAATCGAGCTTCGTTCAGGACAGTATGAGGAATTCGAGATAGCCAATTACAGCACTGAGGACAACAGTATGCCCATGAACTCACATACGAGACTGCGTAAAGTGAATAAGAATGAATTAACAATGATCTTTTCTCGAGGTTCGAGCGAGTACATGGATGCACAGGGGATTCCTCTATCCAGACACTACCTCCTAAGCCGCGAGACCAGTGTATCCATGAGTTCAGAGACGCCCAGAGACGCCCGCAGCTAATGCCCCCAAGACCCTTATGCTAACAAAAAGAAGGAAAAACAATCAGCGTGGAAGAGACATGGTTCTGCTTAAAAAACCGCCTAGTTCAATGCTGCTGGCCCTGTTTTCTCTCCAGGTCGTTGGCGAGGTTCATGTGCATGAGGGCCTGGGCCGTCCAGTCTTCTTCGCTCTGGCCACCACCACCGCCCTGCTGATTCTTCCATAAATCCATACTCTCTCGTCCATCGACTCCAGGGAGGTGAATCGTCGGCGGGGTCTGACCTGGCTTGGCGCCTACAGGCGGGGGCCCACCGTCTTCGCGACCAAAGGAGTCAAAGTCTGGCAAGACGTAGCCGTGGCCCGGCGGCGCATTCGCTTGCTGTGCAAACGCAGGACCTTCGTCACCAGGCATCTCCGCAATGCCATCTTGGGCCTGTGGGGGGAGAGCTGCCATCTGTCCGACCTGATGCTCGAATTCTTCCTGCTCTAGAATTTGCGGTGCGTGTTCGACATTGCGCAGGCTCGAAGAGCCAGGCGCCAGGCCGCTCATGGTCATGCTCCTCTGGCTACTGACAGAGGCTCTGTGAGGGTTGGGGTCATCTGCACCAGGGTCACCACCGACGATGCTGTTGGGATCCATGTCTCGAATGGCGAACTGTGCGAGGGTACGCATCTTACGGGTGACCCAACCAGCCAAAATCTTGCCGCGTTGCTTCTCGCCGAGACGCGACCGTGGGAAGTCGCCCTTATTAACGAAGGCGACGATATCGACAATGATCTGATGTTCATTGAGGATGGCATTGACAATGACCGGCACCACGGAACCAAGGTAAGCCTTTCGCGTAATCTCGGCCAGCAGAACGACGAGACCGCCAGCTTGGAAGACGGCGCTGTGTGTTGTTAGCCTAAGGGACCCTACCAATGAAGGGTTTCAACTTACCATCCACCAGTCACGATGTTGCGGTGGCACCGTTCCACAGAGGCCTCGATATCCATGGGGAAGTGGCTGAGACCATTGATCTCAAACGTCTCTCCAATGTTGCCGAGAACGAATAAGACCTGCATATCCACTTGAGCGCCTCCAGGGCCAATAGGCCTGCTGACGTTATGCAAGAAACCCAAGTCGCCCGTACGAACGTATTGGATGCTGGGATCACCATCGACGGTACGGCCGTCAAATCTTTCTGCGTCAAACACATCCTTTGAGCCGTAGAATGCCTTAACACAAGCCTCCGAGTCGACCCAAATCTCTCCGTACTCGCCATCGTGGCAGAGCAGTCGGCTCTCGGGGTTCACAATGGCGATTTGTGTGGAGACAGGCACCATACCGGAGTCCTGGAGCAGAAGCGCTTTAGGATCCTGCTCGGGATCTACGGGGTAGATCAGACCGCGGCGCAGTGCCTTCGTGTCCAGCCAGAGCTCAATAGGCTCGATGCACATGTAAGACCTCGATGCGACCATGGGGTTGAGCACGTGGGAATAGACAGTGTTGATGGCGGTTCGGTCGAGGCCAGTAGCCGCGAAGTGAAGCCGCACCTTTTGGAACACATCCACGCGTGGCCTGCTTTCGGCCGAAATCATCATGTTCTTGAGCTCGTGGAGCGTGAAACCCTTGCCTTGCATAGTGGCCATGGCGTGATCCAACATTTGTGGCGTCGCATAGGTGTCCTTGATCTTGTACCTAGAAAGAGTCACAAACAGCGACATTGGGTTTTGCGCAAACTCGACTGGCGAGAGGAGGTACGTGGGGGTGCCGATGTAGATGCCCATCAAGCATGAGTGAATGAAGCCGAGGCCAGTGGTACTACGCACGCATCCCAGCACGGGACGGGAACTCGTCATCTGGCAAGTCTCCTTCTGGACCTTGCACATGCCCAGGATGGTATCATGCCCCAGCTGGACCGCAATGCGGCGCTGGTCGGGCGTCCAGTAGGTCCAGATGATCACAGGGTAACCAGTCTGAATCCAGGCGGGCTGCATGGTGATACCGTTATCGCGCAGACCACTGCTCTGCTTTGGCGGCTTAGTGGTGTTGTAGTAGTTCGGCACTCCAATCTTGAGGATGGAAGCGGCTTGCTTGACATGGTTGGAAACCAGCTTCAGCTTGACCAAGTGATCAACTTCGTGATTGACCAGGATGGCCTTGACCCGGAAGTCAGCGACGACATGCAAGAATGCCGGCACGTCCTCGTTAAGTCGGTTCTGGTCAAGAGGAGCCAATGGAATGACAACCGCGCCCAAGTTGATACAGGCATGGACAGCATAGACAAACTCCTCTGAATGCGTGTACATCAGAATCAGGTGGTCGCCAGGGCGAACCTTGACCTTGTTCTTCAGGTACAAAGCCACGGCGGCAACCTTGGTGTCGAACTTCTTCCAAGTCACGCCCTTGCCTTCTCTGCCACGGCCGTCAATGGTGCAGTAAGCGAGTTCCTCGGGTTGACGGGCAACGCGCCATTGGATAAGATCAGTAATGCAGGAGAAGTTGTTCAGCGGCGTTGAAGTGCGGTCGTCAATGACAACTTCTCTTCGGTCGATACCCGAGTATTGCTTGTCGGATGACATGAGAATTCCAGCACGCGAGTCTGATGAAATGGGAGACCAAATGCCTCCGATAGGATCAACTCCAATGGGAAGGTTGAGTACGGCATGCTCAACACCAAACTTGACATGAACACAGGGCAGGTTGCCCAAGTCAAACTCTCTTCTGCAGAGCATATTACCGATGTCCCTACGTCCGTTCTTGACTACTCTGGGCAGAGAGTTTGGTGCCGTGATCATGACGCAGTAAAGTCTCAAGTGATGCTCTTGCATGAGTACGTCCATACATCTCTCGGCGAGGGAGTCGAGCAGCGCAGTGTCGAGTTGCCTGGGCGGCCCACCTGAAGTCAGAGGCGCGGTGGATGCAGCTGGTGATTCCAAGACAACAATTGGCAGATGCTCCTCGTTGACGAATACGTCAAACGCAGAGCAGTCGTAAATCTTGGGCACATTCTTGACGATGCTGACGACTAGGTGCTGGACGAAGAAGTAGCGGTACTCGGCCACTTCGGTGCCATGTTCGACCCATTCGACCTTTTGACGAATGCGATCTTCGTAAAGGCCAAGCACAAAGAGCTTGCCTTCGATAACTGTGCCCAGCAGGCCGGTCCTCAGAAACTCGGGCTCTACGACAGTGGGTGTTGGCTCGCCGGGATCAAACTTGTAAGGCCGGGCGTGGAATATTTGCTCTGTGTGTTTTGGCAGAGCCCAGAAGCCTCCTGATAGTGATGGCGAGTCCACCCAAATTTCTCCGACGGAGTGTGGTGATGCCAACAAGCCAGTCTCCGGATCGACAACTGCGAGGGTGGCATCGGGTATAGGGTATCCAAAGGCACCGATACGAACAGTGCCCTGTTCGGTAGCAGCTCGTTTTCGCGCTTCGTCTCCGATTGCTACTACCACAACTTCATTCGTCTTCAACGCCTCTCTGTCGAGGAGCACCTCACTCAGTTCGTTCTTAGCGCGCTGCTCTGTGGTGGTGGTGCCGCCGCCTCCCAAGAGACTGCCAAAACCATTGGAGGGCGCAAGCTTCACCTCTTCCTTCTCTTCTTCGTCCGAATCGATGTCGGAACCCATGTCCAGCTTTAAGGGGCAACCCATGCGCTCTTCGCCTCCCAGCCAGTCGCGAATACTAATAACCATGCCACCGTGCTCTGGCAGGCACAACATTGGCGCGACAACCTCGCGAGCTCGTGGGTTTCTTAGTGGCCTCAGCCATCTGTCCGCTAGTACTTCGTGGAATTCACCATCAACCGTCAGGGTATCAATTAGGCACAGTTTGACCGTCTGGAAGTTGGGCTCCATGCCCTTTTTGAAATTCCGTGTCGTCATAGGATCCGACTGGTAGTTGTAGGCGGCACGCTTCAAGCCGGGGTAGTCGGCAATCATGAGTGTGGCCTTGTACTTGGTGATGAGGTGAGCGTAGAGACCCGGCACTTCAACGGCCTTGTTCTCAACCCAAACAGTTGTGTGGCCGCCGTACACGGTAAGAAGGACACCCAGAATCATGCCAATGCCCTGTCGAGGATCCAGGTAGGAGAGGAGCGTCTCGCTGGTCGCTCCAGCACCGATGAGACGTCCATTCTTATCGCGCAAAGTTCGACTAAAGGTGTCGCCAGGTCCGTTTCCTGGTACTGTTGTGACAACGGCGCTCAAGCAAGCCATTTGATGCATGACTGTCCTGTGACTGAGAACCACGCCTCGCAGATCACCGGTGGGCGCGCGCGAGAACTCGATATATGCCAAGTCTGGTACTGTCAAAGGCGGGACATCGTCTTTGCGCTTGGGATGGAAACTGCCAAACTCGTTCGTCTTCCACCATTCTACGCCCTTGGGCCAATTAAGCTTCTGTGTTGTTATGTCGCGCTGGAAGGCCTTGAGATTGTTATCCGTTGTGAGCGCCAAATGCGCCTGCGTCGATGTGAGGATCAGGTTCAGCTTCTGATAGTCTTGCAAATCATTGATCGGTACTGCAACTACGCCTGCAATGAAGCATCCGAGTAGGGCGATGGCAAAGTCGATGACTTCTGTGTCACGGTAAATCAGGGCAACGCGATCGCCGCGATACAGCGAGCTCTTGTCCCGAATGACCTGTGCCACCTTCTCGGCTCTTGACGCTAGTTTGTCCCACGTGATGGAGGCAATTTCTTTGCCCTTGCTATCCAGCACCCAGTATGCGGGCAGCTTCGCCATTGTCTTTCCCCTGTGCCTCAGGACTGCGGCGATGTTATCGAACTTGGACATGGGGGTATTGCTGTCGTGCGGGTCGGA